TCTTCAAACCCTCTAAAGAGAGGAGGAAATCACATTAATCTTCACAGCACCCTTGTGAGATAAATACAAAATGATTGCTTACTCTCTAGTGTACTTTATCTGAAGATTTCATCTCCCAGGACTCTGAATGCAGCTTTTGTGCCTTAGCATAAGACTAGCAAAATTTCCCAAATCCATTAATTAACAAGAAATAGTCACACTATGGTCACACTAGTCATTTTTTTTCTGATGATTTCACAAATGGTCATAAGGCAATCCCTGAAGTTTGTCTCGAGAGTGAATTGCAACAGCTGCGTACATTAAACTAGAAGCTGGAAGTGGAAGTGAAAGGGATCAAAATGGGTCCATTTGTGGTATGTGACAACATACTCCTGTCTGGAACTTCCGTCCTTCTGACATCTGCTTGCCCCAAAAGGCCACGCTCGTGAACTTATTCATCAGAAGAAATCAAGCTGTCTGACCAATGTCTTGGTGAGTGGGTAGCAGGCTGCTGTGGTGTCAATGATCGCTGAAGCAGCCAGAGTCTTGGCTCGAATGAACCACTTCGGGACACCTATGGGTAACTATAACAGGGTTAAGGACCATGACCTTCAGAAAAGATGCACACAGGTTCTCTGATAAGACTTTCTGCCTGGCAAAAAGACTAACTATCAAGCTGGGCTCTATACTACGACTATGTCATTGCTATGCTACGAGGCTCATTATTATAGTACCATAGAATCAAGGTTGGAAAAGACCTCTAAGATCATCAAGTCCAACCATCAATGCAACACCACCATGCCTGCTAAACCATGTCCTGAAGTGCCACATCTACATGTTTTTTGAACACCTCCAGGGATGGTGACCACCACTTCCCTGGGCAGCCTATTCCAGTGCCTGACCAAATTAGGAGCCTCCAAGAGGGTTCTATGACCATGGGATCCTCACTAACGCTCAACAGCTGCTTGGAAGACACAGGATGCACTTGACTATGAGGCAAAAGTATCTTTGCCAACAGGCCTGCCAACCTTTTAAGGAGAGCTTTAAACTAGAAAGGACAGAGGATGGAACAAGGAGATTTGGGATAGGGTAGGTAAGTGACGTCGATGGGAAGGGACACAGCAACTCAGAAAACAACTTAGCTGAAGCGTAATCCTGTTGAGCACAGGCACGTAAGGAAGGAAGCACCTGCAGAGCAGCCTTGTGCAGAAAGCTCTCAAGCCTGCACTGTGGAACCGGCACACTCAGACGCCCCTCAGAAGCCTCTGCTCCAACGCATGCAGCACAGGGAAGAGTTCAAAGTCTGTGTGCAGTTACAGGGCTACAATCTCATCGGGATCGTGCAGAAATGGTGGGATAGCTCACACCACTGGAGTGCTCCGATGGAGGGATACTGGCTCTTTAGGAAGGACAGCTGGGCAGGTGAGGAGGGGGTGTTCCCCTTTATGTGAGAGAGCCGCTGGAATGCATGGAGCCCTGCCTTGGGACAGGTCAGGAGTCAGTTGAAAGCTGCTGGGTCAAGATTAGCTGGCAAATCAACACGGATGCTCTTGGCTATCTGCTATAGATCTCCTGATCAGGAAGATACAGTAGATGCGGACTTCTTCACACAACTGGAAGAAGCTTCATGTTCACAAGCCATGACCTTCATGAGGGACTTTAGCCACTCCAATAACTGCAGGTATCTGAACACAAAAAAAACCCCAATACTTTTTCACTGTGAGAGTGGTCAAATGCTGGAACAGGTTGCCCAGAGAGAATGTGAAATCTCCATCCTTGCAGATGTTCAAAACTTGACTGGACACAGTCCTGTACAACCTGCTCTAGGTGGCCCTGCTTAAGCAAGGGGGTTGGACCAGTTGATCTCAAGAGCTGCCTTCCCACCTCAACCATCCTGTGATCCTGTGATGTCTAGCTCCATTTAATTTGATTCTTCATACATTTAAAATACAAATATCAGCCCTCACCAGCGAACAAATGCATTGCAGCTTTATTCTTGACACACAGCCCCAGTGCAAACCCATTATCTCCAACTGAGTGGTCTCACTAAGATCAAATTAAGCTAAGCACATTTAGGAATGTGGCCCAGCACAGTCATTTTCCTAACCATGTATTTTACTTCACATTTGTTTATTCAAAGGATCTCTTTTATATTAGAAGAACTTCCATGTCATATAGAAGGTCAAAGGATTCACTGATCTGTTATTTCAATGACAAAGCTTCTCCCAAACTGAAGTTATAGTGAAAATTTAAGCAACATAGATGAAAACAACAGTCAATATAAATCAAGCTAGAAATCCCATCGATATTTTTTACCGTAAGTTTCCCAGCATGGCAACACTGTCCAACAGATATCCAGTATTTGTTTGCCAGTGTCATCAAAATGTTCCGTATCACAGCAAATGCATATAAATGTACACCACTGCAGAGTGGCAGAATTTCTGTTTATATAGGATGTGCAACAGCAGCTCTGTAGGCAGAGCAACATATGAACGTGCCTTTCAAAATGGGGATTATCTATTGTTTACCATCTCCGGTGAATTCTAACATCAAAATCAACTCTTTGTTATTCCTAGGCTCCTGAAACACTTCCATTGCTTATCCAAAAATTACCCTACACCTGACACCATGTGACAATATAAAATTACCTTCAACTGCAGAATGTAATTGTGAACGTTTGGTAAGAAGGGCCGGGAAAGTACTGACAGCTCACAGGCTGTGGTAACAACACTCATGGTAAAACACCTACTGCAGGAAAAGAGATTTCAGTAGCACAGGTTCTCATTTCCTGCTTTTGTTGGCTGGCAGAAGGCGACAGACATGGAACAATCTTTGGATTACGTCAGAGACGTGTACCACTGCACACAGAGCTTCGAGAGGGAAAACACTGCAGAGCACTGCACGTTAAGATACCTTAAAGTAACACCGATTTTACAAAACCACATTCCGAGTTAACTGCTTGCTGATAGACATTTCCTGGTTACATGACATTTCCATAAAACCATGAAAATCCTGTGTTGCAAAACAGGCAGAGAAGGCAGGGTCATAAAATGTAATTGATAATAAAGGTGAAAATTGAAGAGATGAAGAAGAAAATAGCAGCTCCAACCCACCTATGACACTTAAGGTTCTACACTGCAATTTTGACAATAATTTCTCAGTTGCGGTAAAGAAACATAACAGACAGCAAATTGTTCAGCATATCACACTTTCATCTAATTTCTGACCATGAGAACAGCATGTACTTTTGTGTCATGCAAAATTCATTATAGGATCAGGGTCTCTGTTTTTAAAAAGTGACCGATGTCACAGACTTCTCCCAGCAGGCAACTAGGCTGCCAGGCAAAAAGGGGATGGAAAAAGTCCAAAAGGGCACAGAGAGCTTCACTCTTTCTTAGATGAGAAAACACTAAGAAATGTACCTACAGTAATAATGGAAAAATATTCATAATTTTACTTTATTATTCTTCGATGCAGTTCTCAAAGCAAAACTATACTCCTCTTCAGAAAGGTTGCCCTAACTACTCCAGATGATCCACCTGGTATGCTACAGACACTTCTTGTCAAAATGACAACTCAAGAAGTGCACTAACAGCCTATTACTGTACAACCTAAAGTAAATATTGTCCTTGGGGGCAGACCTATAAATGACTCCATTTGAGAACAAGATCTTCTTTCTTTCACTGTTACCTAGGTTGAATATGTAACTTCCTCAGAAAAAAAGACTCCTAGCTAGATTGTTAAATGGCTTTGCAGGCCATTGGTAAGACGTGTCAAAACTTAATATAATTGCAGATCCTGAATTTAGACTAAATTTTGCTAGTATTTTAGAAACAAGTGTCAGATTTGTTTGTTTTGAAAGACAGAAGAGGAATTAGAACAACATCCACGGTATGGCAAATCTCCCTTCCTATCTCTGTAATGTCCCATATATTGCCTTGGTTTTATTCCTTTTAATTGTATATTCTTCAGTTCCAGTTGCAGTAGTCAGAATGCACAAACCTATATCTGCTCATAAACTTTTATTAGAACTCTGTTGAAATAACAGAATTTCAAATAAATTACACTAAATAATGAGGAAGTTAAATGATTCTACACTGAGCCACTGACTTCTGGGCAGCTATTTGTTTAAGTGCCTAAAGGAGAAATTACATTGCCTCGGACAGTTTAGTTTAAAACAACCAAAACCCTAAGCCCCTAAAATTTTAAGAAAATAGCAAAAACTACCTGCAGACTCCTAGGGAAAGGATGATGAGTAAAACTTCTGACGCATTAAGAGAATGCAATAACCATGTTTTAAACACAGTTAAAAGACTTTCAAGACTAGCAATTACAGTCACAACTTTTGTTCTTTTGGGTTCTCCTCCTCTCCCTGCTCACACATTGTGTTTTGGGTGCCATTTTTCTCTAGAAATTAAGATAATTTTAAGGTGTGACAACCAACACTCCACAACAGGGACATACTATGTGGATCTCTGGGAACAACAAAAAAACGTGAGCAGGCAAAAAGTTTTTCAGGGGAACTATAAAATGCAATTACCACTGTTCTCACCATTTATAACTCATAGAGCCCAAGTGACCTGGGAGAGTACCTAATGGAAAACAGTACTCACAACAATAAATTAACAATTATGGGATGCAGACAATGCATTCCCAGATTGCTTTTAAGTATGAGAAGTCCTGTCATGAACCCATTTTTGGACTTAATACAAGAAGGATAAACAACAAGAAGAGCAATCTCAAGTCTCGGTACACTGACCAATTTCAGTCTCAGGTGAACATAAAAGCAATAGCCATATATTCTAATTAAGGATAGTTCAGATATTTCAGTGAAACACATTTAGACAAAAGTACAAGAAGCCACAGTTTAAAGATGAGTTTTAAAGAAGAAGACATAGCTTACTGACTTTTCAAAAGACAGGAATACTTGCTTTTTACCAGATTTCTTAGTTAATATTTTCACACTTTTGCAAAGTACTTTCGTAGCAGATAAATAATGTCAACTGAAAAATAAATCCTACCTGTTTCCTCTTTTCAGGCGGAAGGGATGGATCCCCATCCTAGGAACAAACGGAGATATTTTATTGGCAACTTATTTCAGAAGCCAGCAACTATATTAACTTTGTGGATCGAATTTTAAAACATGTATTTTAACCAAAATATTATCACAATTGTTTCTAAAATATTGCATCTTGATTAATTCCAGTAATGTTCATTTCAACTCAAAAAATTGTTTAAGGCTGAAGATTTGTTTATATTTCTAGAACAGCAGGTCATTACAAATTTATGTTGCATTATTTTTCATAACGGTACATTAAGTTCCTGTGGAATAATAATATCACAGTCAGTTTTTAAATGGAATTATGACTGAAACTAATTTCTTCTGAGCACACACTGTCTTTCTGTGTCTTATATAACAGGCACTACCTCATCAATGCGGAACAAATGAGTAATAATATGATCAGGGCTGTACAACTGCGGGACTACTGTAAACAAGTACCTAAACATTTTTACAGCACTCACTACGGACTTCTTTTGATTTCTGTTGAGGTTGACTCTTGTCCCCCAGTTCTACAGTATTCATAAAGAACAACCTACAATCAGCTCCCGATACTTCTTTTTCAGAGACTGGTGTCGTTCCCGCAACTGGTTGGCCATAAGCTTGTACTGGTCTCTTTCTTGCTGACAGGTGTCCAGCTCTTTGGAAAGGATTAACAATGCTTCCTTTTTACTTTCGAGCTTCCTTTTACACACCAGATACTGCAGAAGAGAAAAAAAACATAGTTATAGCAAGCCATTTCTACCCCAGCCAGTACTGGATTCAAGAGCCTCAAGTTTTCCTGTGAAAAGATGGAGGAAGACTCTGCACGAGACCAAAGTCTTCCGCCAAGTCGTCTCAGGCTACGGATAATAATCACCGGAAAGAAATCTGTTGCATCAGAAGCCTGAAATCCACTTGTAAGGCCACATGCTCACCTGACCGCCGTGAGTTTAAAAAATTAAGCAATTCCAGTTTCTCCTCTTCTTCCTCACACACAGCAGTATGAGAAAGCTCACAATTTGACCCGCAGCCCTGGGAATGCCGCTGGAAGGAAGAAGCCTTTGCAAGCTACCTTTTCGACTCGTGTCCACAACACCCAGCCCTCAGTTAGCAACCAGCACGTCCCACCTCATTTCCCCTCCCCTCCTCCCCACTAGCAGCGACATCCTCCGGGCCCAGCCTCCCAGCTGGACAGTGAAACAGGACTGCGTTACAGCAGAAGGGGCAGCAGGAGTGGCAATCAAATGTTACCTTGAGTTAAACCAATCACCGTGTGACACCCGATCAACACAGACAAAGAAAACAAGGTTAGCTGTGATACCATACGCACGCGCTTGCTGAGTCAAAAGAACAGGAAATAACGCAGGAATGTTGCAAGCACCTAAATGTGAGCCTTCCTCTCCAGCCACCGCCTCTTACGTGTAGCGCTCACGCACAAAGCAAAGCACAACTTGCAAATCTTAGCTGTTCTGCATTAGTCTGATCTGCTTCATTGCCTTTCCCCACCGACAGGAAGAGTAACATCTACATCACCCTTTCCTGCAGTGGCTGAATTTTACCTAACAAAAGTTTCAGGCAAATTTTTTCACTTAATGTGATGTTCAATCAGCAGATTCTTCTTACCCATCACTTGACACTGCTCATGCTCAAGCATATATTTCTATTTCTGATGTTGCTCACACGAGACGTGGCACTAAATACTTTCTGAATGTGCTCTGCAAGACACTAAATATCACAGCAGTCATGAAAACAATTTATAGTTTCATTATATACTCTGACAAGAATACTTTGTCATTATGGGCTCACGCACAAAGCAAGAGCATCAGCACTTCCATACTGTTCAAGTCAGTGCTGTTCTTTGGGACAAAAATCATTACTGGTATGTAGTATTTGCTTGGAACTGACTTTGTGAACCTCCATTTCAAGTCAATGAGAAAGGGAAAGGTGAGTTTGGTATATTAGTACAGCCACCGTTTTCCAAAAACGGTAAATGCTTAGTTGCAAAAAAGCGGGAAGGGAATAAGAGAAGCAATTCCAAGAAGGATTTGAACACTCGAAAAGGACGCTTCCACCTTGAATTAATTTTATTTCTGGCAATACTGAAGTTGAAATTCTGCCATAAATTTTCTGGATTATGATGCCTTGTCATCAACAAAGGCAACTGTACCTATGTACTTATGTCCTTACTGATACCTTACACAAATGTCAAGTCCCCTGATAAAGCACTGAAAGGTATCAGAAGCTAAATTTTAATATTGTCAGCAAGTGACTATAGTGACATGGTAAACTGCTGCAAACCTGATAAAATTATTCCTTCCCTTGCAGTGAAATATTTGCCTCTGACAATCTCTTCTTTTTCCCAGTTTCACCTCATGTCTTAGTCAATTGTAAAATACGCCTTCACTAAACTGTTTTAAAATACCAACAATCTGATACAGTAATTGCAAACAAAAACGAGTAAAAGCAAACCTCACAATCACTTTAAAGAAAACCAACAGCCCAAACCTCTGAACCAAGTAGCCTGTTCTGTTCTGTTAGCCACCAGGAAGCATGAAGCTGGCCCACCTAGCCACCACCTATGCGCAGCAGAACACCCTACAGCATGTGCTCAACGGGAGGGGAGCGAAGCTAAACATCTTGCCTTAGGACACCCGCACCACCAGCCTTGCCACGAGTGCTGGCGTAGAAAATGGTGTGTGAGAGTCAGAAAATAAATACGAAAAATAATAAGGAAATGCAGACCTAGAGCTAAACAAGTCTTGCCTCTGCCATGAGTCACAGCCCTCCATAAAGGGCACACTCAGAGCATAAAAGCAGGCTGCGTCTTTCACAGCAGCACTGGCAGGGGCAAGGGAATTCTCCATTATCTAACAGGTTGAGGAATACTTACCAAAAACAGATTGCGGGAACACTTGTGTTCAGGGTCTAAATGAAAAGGAATAATGATCTCCTCCTTGTTTAAAGTATATTTTGACTTGATGCATTATATACTGATATGCTATACAGAAGAAAGGGGCTTGATATCTCCCATCAATGCACTATTTGGATTTCACTATAAAAATGACCACCTAGAATACTTAAGTTATTTTTGCCTTTTGCACATATTGACTTTCCCAAATGTATGGGATAAGAATAGTAATAATGTATAGTAATTTGTTTCCATGAGTTTATGGTATAAGAAACAATAAAGCCACAGCGTTTGTGTGGAATTTGATTATTTGACAGAGCTATGTTTCTAACGTCCAGTACCATTTTTGAAGGAAAACCAAATTATACAAAGACAGACCTCAAAGAGGTTATTCAAGATATACGCTTCTGAATGTTTACAAAAAAGTACTAATAATGGCCATAAACTGACCTAACAATTGTACACTAGAAATGGATTCTACTCAGGGAAACAACTGAGTCCACCAACAATTTCCCATATATGGACAAATAAGTGCAGTAAAAGTATGCTGTCAAAAGGAACATAGGAGTCTTTTTGGAGCAATGCAAACAATAAGCAAAATTTTCTCACATAGCCTGAGAAAAAGCATTCAATAGATGCTTCTGGCATTCATATAGAGATTTCTTCCACTGCAATTGAAGGAAAAAGCTTACATCTCACATACAGTCCATCAGTGAGACAAACAAGTGAATTCCGTTATGCCCTGCAGTCACAAAACATTCTCATTGTCTTTTGTTTCCTTTTAACTGATGTTCCAAAATAATCCTCAAGTTTAAAAAAGTTAACCAAGCACAAGCTGCTATACTTTCAATCGAAACGCTACAATGTACAACATTTCATATCTGTCAAGTGACTTTTATCTACCAATTCGCTGTTATCTGCAATAAAGCAAATTATAATTGCTACAAGGAAGATCATAATAATTAAAGGAATATATATGACATCCTACATTACTGCCTGAACTGCTTTACAGCCAGATAACTACTTTTGTGAAATTGAGTAAAAAGAGACTGACATTACAGGAGAGTGTAACTGCACCAAGGTGACCCTCTACATCGAACACTTACTATTTGTCCGTTGCTATTTTTAGTGACAAATCTGGATAGATCTCACTAACAACAGTGTAGACATGGTCTAATAATCTGATCAAGCTGGGACACTGTCAAGGTTTCAGACTTTCTTTTTTTAAAAATCAACAAACACACCAAATTCCTATCACCAAATAATTTCTTTTAAATTTGTACAAATTACTCGGCTATTTAATGGCAGTTAGTGCCAAGAAGGAAAATACCTAATTTTCTGAGGGTAAAGGTAGAGATACTACCTCCAAACTGTGCTTTGGAATCACTGTGAATCATATTGTGTGTTCCCTCAACACTCCACCTAGCGTCCTCCCGGACACTGATGGGCCACCACACTGTACGTGGGCCTGGAAACCTATCGTCCGCCACGCTCTCAGAGAAAACACGCACTCTATGTACCAGCTTTTGGACAAGAGATCCCAACTGCTGTTGAACTGCCTGATTTTTTACTGAATTTCTCTTTGCTGTACTCTTGGAGGTAATTTGTTGTGCAAATGACAAACCGAAGAGTCCCAAAATCACAGAATCATAGAATCATAGAAAGTTTTGGGTTGGAAGGGACCCCTAGAGGTCATCTAGTCCAACCCCCCCACAGCGAGCAGGGACACCACTAACTAGATCAGGTTGCTCAGAGCCCTGTCCAACCTGGTCTTAAATGTTTCCAGGGATGGGGCCTCCACTACCTCTCTGGGCAACCCGTTCCAGTGTTTCACCACCCTCATTGTAAAGAATTTCTTCCTTATATCCAGCCTAAACCTACCCTGTTTTAGTTTAAAACCATTACCCCTCGTCCTATCACTGCTGTGACTGTGACTGGCAGCGCCAGTATTCAGGGTGTTTGTTGACAGTGTTTCAGTAATGTTGCTCCCCTTGACTTCAGATTAAACTGTTCAACTTATCTGAAAGAGTCACACACTCAAACCCAGAGAAATACACAATTACTGGCCATTTGCCTGTCATCTCATCTCATGTCCTCATCTCTGCTAAAACCCAAGACAATGCAGTGTCCTTGCTCTTATCCCTCAATATCAACTCTGCTCTTCCTGCTCCCCAGCGCTTGCTTCACCAGTTACCTCCTGACCTCTGAAACACAAAGCAGGCTGGTATTATTCACTGGTGATATATGTGATATAAGCAGCTCCCCAGAACACCACATCTTGTCTTGATGACAATATTACACCACATCATCTTCACTGGTCATTTAGAAATTACCATCATTTGATCTGATTAGTCAAAAATAACAGTTTTGTGATGTGGCCCAGCCCTAAAAAATTTTGTATGCCATGCATCGATTACATTATTAATTCCTCCATGTTTGCTCCTCAGCACCCCTGTGGATATCTTAGTCCAACATGGAAACGTGAGAAGCAAACACTTGTTTTGTTGCCTGAACGCCCAGCACGCAGGTCTCTGTAGCACCTCTCCCACAGCTCCCAAGAACCTGCATAGCAGTAAGACACAGTGCCAGCTCTTTCAGCGTTTCCACTTCTTTTCCCAAATGACAAAACCATCACGATGTCAAACCAACCACCTAGCGACCTCAGAGCGCCTGCTCCACTTTGTTCTTTCCTACAGCCACTGGCATTTCCCCATGTTTAGAAAAGCTTTGAAATTAGCAGCTCCAAAGACTGTCGGGTTCCCTCACATAGGTTTGGTGAATGACAATTCACATTCTGTTTGAAGAGGTAAC